GTATATAATTAAATACTATTAACGTCACATCATAAAAATTAGATGTTTATATTTAACGATTTTATGGTTTAAAATTTGTATGGGAAAGGTTATCTGCTGCGGGATTTAAATATTTAATGGCTAGAAGAATCAATAGTGACTGTCTAGAAAAAATTGTTGGGTCCATTAGGCAACAGGGTGGGAATTTAATTAATCCAACACCTGTACAATTCGAAAGGGCATTTAAAACATTTTTGTCAAAATTATCTTCATTGCAATTCCATGAATTGTAATGAAGACCTGGACAAGCACTTGCTACAATTAGATGTAAAAAATATTGTCTCTCTGTATCCTGAAATAAATAAAAACACTCGAGAAGCTATTTTTCTTCCTAATTACAGCTACAGGACAGAAGATATAATAGTTCAAAATCCATTTAAATATATTTGTGGCTATTTGATCAAAAAAGCTTTAGGCATACATGGATGTGATACATTTATTAAATTTTCAAAAGAATGTGAAGGTTTGGATAGTTTACAGATTTTAACATATGATTGCAAATAAAGCACTTATGGAGGCCTAAAAACTCCAAATGAAAAGTTTATTATCTATATATTTAAATTATAAAAAAATGTTATATCTATTTTTAGCAATACCTGTGTAATGTCTGGTATATCGCATAGCTTTTTTTGATATTATGAAAGAAATAGAATTTAATCATTCTTGTCCTAATTTCCCTAACGTATATATCATACAACTGTTTATAAGATTATATATATTATTGTTTAAGTGCTTAAATATTGTATAAATGAAACAAATTAAAAATTAAAAAACAGTTAAAATAATAACACCACAAAAAATATTTTTTTTTTTTTTTTTGCTACTTTACAAGAAATACATATATATTTTAATTAGATGTAGTCAATCAGAACATTTTTAATCAATGGACATAGTGAATCAAAGAACATCTAATTCATTATAATAATTTGGAGGTAGGATTTTTGATTAAGAATGTCGAAAGGTTGCACATGGTATGCTTTCAAAAATGTCTCGTTCATGTTCAATGATAGTCTCAACAGATGAAGCACTTGGTAGATGTACTAGGGAGAAGATAGACATTTGGCTGATGACCTAGATGGATAAAAAATGTGGGAACAGCAGTAGGCAATAAACGTTTACGGTTCAACGTTTTAGAAAAACAATTCTTCTTAAAATGTTTCTCACACAACCTGTAATTCCGATGAAGACTGTTCACATCTATGTTACTCAAATCTTCCCTATTACAAGCTCTTAACCACATGTTGGCCCTAAAATATAAAAAAGTTGATAACAAATGTTTAGATTGACGGTAGTTCAGAAATTATATATTTTTTACATTATTTTTGTTGAAATTGTAAAAATTGTCCTCAAGACATTTAAGTAATAAATATTTGGTTGTCAAATAAATATTTGGTTTTCAAATATAAAAATTGAAAGTATTTTCTGGCTCCATGAGAAATGCAAAATAACTTGTCCCTTTGTCTGTTTACTTTGTTTGAGATGGACAAGGGCGATAGACACATCTCTTTCTTTTCTGATCAGGTGCAGAAGCCATTTCAAATATATCACACAATAAATGAAAAACTAAAATAATAAAAATGTCTCAAAATATCATTGATCTGGCAACGTAAGGATACGTCATATGTAATTATTTTTGATGTACAAAATTGGGACCGGTAGGCGTGGCTTTTGCACTCACTAAAATGGCGGAAGAGCAGAACCGGATTTACAAGTTTTTATTGTACTATTTCTGGTTAAGTATCATTATTTGAACTATAAAAAATGAATTTCCTTTATTATAGATAAAAACTTACACATTGACCTAAAAGGTGGTGGAAGGCCAAGGTTACAAAAGAAGGGGGTCTAAAGATTTAAATATACCCGGTTTTCAGCCGAGAGGTGCTGAATAAAGTAAATGAAAGAAATAAAATATAACTGATTTAATTATCACTCAAGTGTGACTATTAAGTGCTGGAGAATATATTATTTGCAAAATTGCAACTAATCAATGACCATGATATAACTAACTTGGGGCCGATTCCACCATTTTAATCTTCAATTAGTTTGTTTAAACTTTAACACAATAGTGGAAATAATCCTAAAGCGGTGAAATCATTCACAGAAAAAATAAATAGCATATTTTTGGTTCACATAAGCGACAAAAATAAAGCGAATTCGATTTATTGGATCAGTCGTAACACTTTTTCACTAGAGCACATACGTAGCACAGAACACTTACTCTATACGTAGCCCAATGCTTTCTGTTTCTATCTTTAAATTGGAAAATACAAGGTCGCAAATGTCAAGTAATCTAACCTTACTTTAATTAACAGCTTCCTCGAAATTAAGAACAAATGTTCATACACTAAATAAGTTCGATAATTCGATACGAAACGTAATGCAAGGCTCGAGGAAAATGGCTAATAAACAATCTCTGTGTAGGTAGATGCACTATTCAGGAAATCAAAATGTGGATTAATTTTACTTGGTCTTGGTACTCTTGTAGATTCAGACTGAAAGATGTGTATCTTCATGCAAGACATTCAGTAAATCAGCGAAGCCACAACCAGCGGTGTGCAGGTAGGTACAGGTGCACTTCTAACAAATGTAAAATATGAAGTGATCTTACTTGAGACTTATAGATCCAATGAGGATAATATGGTGGTTGGTTTGAGCTGGGCTTCTCACCATCTGCAGAGATTATGACTACTTATGTAAAGGCCCACCATAGTAACAACATCACCACAAGAGTGTCTGTCCAATTTAATTGGTCTATGCACAATAATCGTGCATGTATGATTGAAAATCAGACAAAGAATGTGAAGATAAAGTTAAAGTCTCAATCATAGTTAAAGTCACAGATGAAGTTAAAAGTAAGAGTTGAAATTGTAGGCTGGTGATAAAGGGAGGCCAACATCTAGGTAATAAATGTTTGTCGAGTTAGGAAAAGTATCATATGCTGTAAGCGCTTTTCTTAACAACTAAGGTAAAAACCAGAATATTTCATAATACACAATTTCTTCGCTAGGTAAAATAAGAAATAAATTTGTGAAAATACTTCCCAAGTGTTTTTCAAAAGCTCTAAGAACAAAATTGATGAAAATGGCCTAAGCCAAGTTCAAATTCTAAAACTTGAATATTAAAGATAAGTAACTTACTGTAAAATAAGTAAAACCTCATTGTTGATTAAATGGTTGAATAATTCATTACCTGGAGGTAAAATAGTGACCAAAATTTAACAGAAAAAGCCACTAGAGAAGGTGAACAAAACAGAATGGGGCATATAAAAGTCAAGCAAATATTGTAAATGCAAATAACGTGTGCTGTGATTAAATAAAAGTGTACAAAGCATGAAGTTTTAATATTTTCTTATCCATATCTATGAGTGATATCTGAAACACATTTTAGGCAATTAAAAGGATCTATTAATATTGTTCTAAATTAACTATAATAAAACAAACAATACTCATGCATACACAAAACATGCTCTAGAACTAATATAAATAAAACTGGTGGAAGCAGCAAATGTAGGTTATATTTAAATAGAAATAAGAAAATAAAATGCCTATAAATTTGATAAACGACATGGCGTACAATTAATGTACTTTTCAAGAAAATGCTTGGAACATATACAGCTGAATTTAGAAGGTTCCCAATTATGCCTGTTGACAAAATATCCACGCGCTACGTTGTTCAGGATTTTTTGGTAATCTATAAATATTATTTCATATGAAAAAGTATTATTCCAATACAGGTAGGCCCAAAAGTTGATAGATGATATTTTTTTGCATTTTTAAAAGCATACTTTTACACATTTTATACAAACATATCATAATACTGTCCTGTATAATATTTATAATTTTGATACTAACCTAAGAAACGTTATTCCAGTCGATTTTTTACAAAAACGACTATCGCTAGACCAGGAACATATAAAACAACAAGGCATTATAAACTTTATAAGTTTGTAACACTCAAAATTTGCTCAAATACAAATTAAATTCAAATTTATTAACACAAATGACACTAAAATATAACCTATAAAATTTGACAATTTGCACTCACAGTAATGGCGGACCGGTGCCACTTTCCGATTACGCATGTCGTATCCCTAGGTTGCCAGATCAATGCAAAATATGCACTACAAACAAACAAACAAACAAACAAAAATAATGACATATTTACATCGCATTGACACTATTGACGTTGACGTTTTTGTCGCCTATTTTCGGACATGCGCAGAAAAATATGGACCCCTCATAAAAAATGATATGTCGCTACTGTATTGTTCTTTATACTGGGGTACTACATTTCATTCATAAAAATTGTAAATTCGTAAAATAAGATATTCAGCGTTGCCGTATTTACGGAGTTCTTCGAAACCCTAATATTTTGTTTAGATTAATATTGATTTTTTAATAAAAAATTTAGCTTATATTAAAACTTCAAAGAATAATTTGATTAAAAACATATTTTTATTTATATAATATAAAATTATAGTTACAGGACACATCAAATTTTATTTTTCGAAAGTAATTTCTCCAAATAATTTTGACAGACTGATAAAATCGGCAAAGATGCAATAAACGAGAATCTGGTAGGAATAATGATTTGCCACATAAAAATGTAAACAATTTGGTCTCTTAGTTGTAATGTCTTTGGTCGAGACACAATTTTGTCATTTATAATCTGAATCGAGCGGTCTATTCTTTGACTATTATTATTGCAAAAGTATGTCGAGACAAATTACAAAATACACGAAAAATTTTAGAATTGTTATACAAGAAAGAATAAAAAAGAAAAATTTAAATTGAAGGGTACCAAATATTTTTATTGTAAAGTTTGGAAGATAGGGGCAGTAAGAGAAGCAGTGTTAGAGATGTAGCTAAAGGTACCCAGGTAACCAGCTGTCGTCATTTGTACGTCATTATCTGGTCATCACCGACGTCAGGATGACTTCAAAAATGACGTCCGAATGACGCAATTATGACCTTCTAAGTCACAGACGAATGATGTCATTTTACGACGTCAAATTGACGTTATGAGTTGACGTCAAAAGTACGTCCTACAAGGAGGTAGTCTGACGTCTTATTGACGTCGTTTTTTTTAATGAATTTTCCGTATTTATGACCAGTTGCAGTAAACTTGATCAAAGTTAACCGTTTATTATATTTTAATTGAAGGTAAAAGTAGTAATGGTGATAAAACTTGAAATATCACTAGTCTAAACATAAATTAAAATGTAATCAATAGTTAGCAACAATCTAGCGTTCTGCAAATAGCCGGTAACTTAAAAATATTGTAAATTTTCAATAAAAATTAGAGGTATATTATTTGTGTCATTTGATTAAAATCGTTAAAATGACATTATTTAACCCCAGTTAATTGAATTTAGATTCTTGATTGTTTTGGCCTTTAGGTATAGGATATGGTATTGACAAAATAGGCTTAAAAACAGACATTTTTAAAGCACGTATTTATTAAAAATAAAAAATATGGGAACTGCGACAATGTCTACTCCAGGAATATAAATATCAAACAAACAATAAATTTCAAAGTAGTAATGGGTTGCTTGAAAATGTCCATACGTAAGTCTGAAAAATGGACGTGACCAAACAAAACTTTAAATTAAATAATTTGGCTGATTTTCTTATAGTCAAAATATAGTTTTAAAAAGAAACCACAAATCAATTTTATGTTTCTACGATTTTCTAATTAGCGATTGAGATATAGGCTCCAAAAGAATACATTAAATGTCAATTTAAATAACTTGTTTTTAAAGTTTGATTTTATTTTTATAAATAAAATATGGTATCAATACCCTTTTTTTTTAATTTATGTATTACTGTACAACTTTAATAAGTATCACACATAATACTCTACAAATAAAATCAATTTTTTATTAAATAATATTTCATATTCCAATTTTAAAATCATTAGGGGATAAACTATGAAAAGTTATACAGATAAATAGAGGTAGGTAAAAACGAAAAAAAAAAATCATTCTTTTTTATCAGGATTCAACAAATAACTGACCTGACTGGCTTGCATAAGACGTCCCAGACTACCGTTTATATCTATTTTTAGGACATTTCCAAAAATTACTTTTCCTGAAAAGAACCATCACTACTTCAAAGTATAACTATACTATATAAAATTAAACAAACTCTTACAAAATAATATTAAACAAACATATAAACTTCCAAACGTTTTAATTTACAATGGACAAAAATTTAAGTTAATAAATTGTTGTTATCAACAAAGTGAATGGACAAGTGGAAAACAGACTAGTTCTTTTTGTTTTCTATATGAAGGAATAACTAGACATTTTGCCAAAATTTTATTAATCGGCCAAAACTGATTTACATTGTCCAAACTTCTTATTATAAAGATATCCAGACAACTTGACTCAAAGGGATAATTATAGTAATCTGAATAATCCATAAATTCTTTACCAATTAGTATTGTGCAATTTTCTGAATTTGTGATTATGTTTTCAACTTGAACAACTTTGTGATCTGTTGAAATAAAATAGGAGTCTGCAGAAGAGTGATTTTTGGTGCAAAAAGTAAAATTTCCAAAAACCACCTTTTTACAAATATTTAGCTCACTCATAACAGGGCCAATTGTATGTTGCCCAAAATGCTGTGGCACGTTTTGTTGAAGTAAGCTGACTGCTTCAGTGATATTTGACTTTTCTTTTATCCTTCGATAAATTTGTGCAGCTGGATTTACTGGAGACCTAACTAATCGTTTCAAATGCCCCAGATAATTTTCGAAAGGAAATGAAGAAATTTCATCAAGAGGGCCATAAGCTTTAACTTCCTCCTCTAGGTGGCATAAAGCATGTACATTATGCACAAAAAATTCTGCTCCATAAATCTTAACAGAATGTGTTATAAAAACATCTAAAAATTTGGAAGGTATATTTATACCTACAACTGAAATATGTCTGCTTGATAAAAAAATTGTTATAGCACAATAGAGTAAAAGAAAATGTTCATATACTGCCAAATTTACAATATTTTCTAACACAACAGGACCCACGTAAACTAAGAATGTGCGAAATTCTGTGGCTTTCCAACGTGCTAATTCTGCCAAAGTTCTTGGTTTTCTATTAAATTCCAGAGGCTTATATTTTTTTAAAAGCTCTAATCGTTCTGATATAAGAAACATATTGATTAGATAATCGAACAGATAAATTACCAGACACCCAAATATTTAACAGTTTCTTAGTAACGCCTAGACAAACAGCATGCATGTAATCAATTGGAAATTTGGTTACCATCCCAACCCCTAAATTAATAAGTGGGGATATACCTTTATGATGATCCTCATCTATTTGGAGCCGAAATGACTCGTCAGTTCGTCTGGGGGAAGTAGTTCCTGAAAAAATCATCCTTCCTAAATATTCACCTTCAACAATACATTTGTCACATGATGAGTATCCAGTATGTGATTTAGTACACTTAATAAAAGCTCGGGAAGGTGTATCACATATAAAGCTATGTATTTCAAAACTATACACTATGTTATTAAAGAAGTATCCATTAGTCAACAAATCACAAGCAAACAACTACATATTATTACCTACCATAACTTTGAATTTCTCTTTGTCAACTAAATATTGTTCAAGTTTCTGAACTTCATTTAAACCTACACAAGGTATATCAACGGGAAATTTTGGTATAGAAGTAGTAATGCTCTGGGTCCCTGATACTAATGGTCTAGTTTTTAATAAAGTAATTATTTCCTTGTTTTGTTCCTTTAAAAAAACCAGATTTTCCAAAATCTTCTGTTGTACTGAAAAAGTAGCAAGTACTCATAATATATACAAAATAATACCTAGTTATATTTTATACCTGACTGGTTGGAATTAACTCTTTAATCATCTTTAATTGTTGAACTAGATTGAAGTCTTCATTGAAAGATGAACCAAGAGTTGAAGATGGGTTTTCAAAGCTTGACCATCTCACTGGGGAATAACTTCTTGGGCTTTGAGCTTGGCTACAGGAACTTTTTCTTATCTGATTATCAGTGAATATTTGTTCATTACTTAATGATTTGTAATTTGCAGAAATTGGTCGTCCAATTGTACTATTTCGGACAGCTGTCTTTCTTGCAATTACATTTTTTTTTGGAAAACTTTTTTAAGTGTGCCTTTATAGTGAAAAATATTGTCTACAAATAGGAAACTTTACTAATTTTACAAAAAAAATCTTGATAAAAAGTACCTACTTAGGAATTTAATAATCAAGAATCAAATTTGTAACATATTTAGGAGTCTATTTTGTAATAAAATTGTTAAAATTAATCCTGGGCCATAAAAATAACCAGATGTCATTTTTAATTTTATATTCTGTACTATTTGGTTAAAATTATAACTTTTGTCATTTAATAAATTTACTAATGCTTCTCTGTCAAATATATTCTTTTTCTTATTTTTACTACTGCGTTGGGCTTTATTTCAATTCACTTTTAAGTATATTGTTTCAATGTCTATTTTAACTGGAATTGGTTATAAAATAGCTAATAATCTCGAATAGAAATTTGGGTTAAAATTTAAAAGTCATAGTTATAAATAACTTTTAAACTGGGGGTTAAAATTAACTAAAACGTTACAGAATAGACCCCTTAGTAGTATAAAGCGAAAATCAAAAATAATGAGTAAAGCAATTTGTATATAGAGATAAAGAAAATACATAGATATTTCTATTTTTTTTAATTTAAGAAAACTCCCTTAGTTTTGGTAAAATTTAAAATACAAAAACCTGGAACAAAATACATTTATATTGAGGAACAGGTACCAATTAAAAAAGACTTACATTAAATAGCAAATTACTAACCTGTTTGTTTCTTTAAAGTTGTAACTGACAATCTTGGGGGCCTTTCATAGTCAAATTCCGAAATTTCATCATCACTGCTTTCAAGTCTGTTTGGCTTCTTAGCATGTCGTTTATCTGCCTCATCCCCTGTATTAACATCACTTAAGTTTTCTGCCACTTTTAATTTATTTTTTGCTATTTCCAAATTGTCTGTAAGTTATTATATTATTCCATTAAAATAGATAAAAAAATAAACAATCAGAAAAACATATTAACAGGTTAAGATCAAGACAAAAATTTATCTGCCGAGGAATCGTCCATTTAGAAAGTCTAGATGGCGCCCGGTCAGCAGACTACATACATATTTTTTTTAAATAATTTCATTCCTAATCTTGGCAGTCAGCAGTTTGCTCAGACTTTCTTTGGTGCCCCTGTAGACGTTGCGATATGTCTGCACTAAATAAAAGGGAACTGAATACATTTTTTAAACAAAATATAAACAATTTACAAAATTATAATTTACATACCAGTTTCGTAGAACTTCCTTTTTACGGAAAATTTGTCCCAGTCCCCAGCCGCGTCCAACAGATGTCTAACCGCTTTGTTATAATTATAATGTTTTGGTGGCCAAAGAACATTCCGCTTTTCTGGCGTATACCACTTATCGACAATTATTGCCAAACTCCCATCTTCATCAAACTCCACAACGTGAAACATCTTTTAAATTGTACACTACTATGCATCAAACGAGAAAACAGTAAACTAAAACCGAAAAATGGCGACAACGCGACAACGTATTCACATTTCATTTACGATTTACGGAAGGACGAGAACGGAACCGTCAGGCAACTCGCTCGGGCCATGCTCGTGCAAACCCGATTGATATGACAGTATTTAACGCGCCACTTTTTAAAAACATTTATTTCGATCATATTTTCAAAAAATATAAAGATTAGATTTACATTAAGCATGGATGATGTGTATCCATGGTTTTAATAAACACACAAATAATTAACAGTTTGATGTATATCTGCTGGCGCAGAGAAATATAGGACCTTAAATTGCGAAAATAGCATATGCAATAACACTGTGCATGCATATAAAAAGATAAATTGAGTTTAAGTTAGTTTTAGAATCGAGAAAAAATTGGTAATTATCGTTTTGTTATATAAAGAGTGAAATAAGGAATTTTATAAATATTTATAAATATGACCATTTAATAAACGTGAAAATGACGTCCTATTTGGGACGTCCAATTGACGTTCTGGTCGGCGCGTCAAAATGTCGTCATTTTAAGGTCAGGTGACGTCAATGACCTTAAATGACCAAATATTGACGTACAAATGACGTCAGCTGGTTACCTGGGTAAGCAGAATAGATCAGGGAGGTAAACGATCCGCAAAGGAGATTAGGCAGGTAGATGGTGAGTAGAGAAGACCAGGAGACAATGAGTAAGCGGAGAAGAAGTGAGCAGAGAAGAAATTGAAGTTATTTATTTTTGTTTTGTTTTAAATTTGATACTTATTCCATTAAAAAGATAAAGAAAGATATTGAAAATTAAATTTATGTGCTGGATGGTTCTATATTGGTATTTTCGTTTAAAAATGTCTAGGCAATGTTACTATTTCATGTACATGATGGTTCTTAAAAAGTTATAGTATGCTCCTTAATCGAATTTTTAGGAAATCCTAACTGTCCCTTTGTTATTAGGTTTGTTTAAATGTAAGCGAAAATGTGAATAAAATAATTCTGTAATCTGTTAATTTAGAAACTAACATTAATAAATTTTTTGAAACAGTTGCTTAGATGCCCTAAAATACCACGGGTCCAATTCATTAAAGTAATTTTTTTATTAGAGTCGCTTTCATTGCTATGACGCTGAAATAATTATCTAAGGACGAGGAATCATGAAGTTTAGTCCATTTTATGAGCTATAAAGATGTCGCAGTGTTTAGCGACCCGCATGAGGCTAACCTGACGGATTCAGCCATGCATCCGCTGAATAGAACCAGTCGACCCATGATATCACACCAGTGTACAGTGGCGTCATATACCTGCTTTAGGAAAGTTAAATATTCGTATTATTTTACCTTATAGTATAATATTTTAAAATACATATAAATATTCTTAAATAATGTGAAATATAAATGTGCATTAAATTTTCAACAAAATAAATATTAAATACGAGCAAGCGTTTGCCATTGGAAAACAACTGCGCTGCGTTGGCTATATTACCGTAATAGGTATTGAATTATTTGTATTAAAGAAAGCAAAGTAAGATAATTATCAACACTCAAATTTTGATATGCTTACTAAGGAGAACATTGTTCTTGGACTAGTTTCGTCTTTATTAGGACTCATCATACACGTTCTCCTTACTAAAAAAATCAATGTTTGAGTGTTGAAAATTATTTTGTCTAGCTTGTTTTTCTTTATTTATAATTTTTTAATATTAATATATAACACTGGGGAACAAATTTCAACTTTTTTTATGTTTCCTGAAAAAAAAACCAATTTTTTTGGACTTAAGTACACCCTAATAACTAAAAAATACTTATTGAAGATTTTTTTGTTAGAAAATTTTAATTTATATGCATATCCAATGAACATATAAAATGTAGATAAAAATATATTGATGGTTGAACAAAAGCAACTAAATAGGACATTTTTATCATTAAATCTAAAGTTGACACTCATTTTGCGCTTCTTAGAATGTCTTTTGAAAGCAGTCTCTGGGTCATCTCTCGTTATAGTCCAGCAGTAGTCGGCTAACATCTCCGAGTTCCATTTTTCCAGATACCTTCGTTCCATGTATAATATATCCTAGTAAAATCTCTCACTATGCTCGTTACTTACAGCACCACAATTTTCCGGAAACCAGTCGAAATGAGAATCCAGGTAATTAATTTTTAATAACAGATTACACCTTAGGCTTTGGTGATAGAAAAGAAGTTGAGCAACCAGCTCTTTATAGTTTTCTGCTTTTACGTTTCTCAAAAAATTTGTTGCAACCATTTTAAAGGCATTCCTACCATCTTTTTTCTTGCCTTTTAGTGTGGAATCGAATTGGGTATCTCTGAAAAGTTTCCTAATCTGGGGACCCACAAATATTCCCTCTTTAATTTTAGCGTCACTGATTCTAGGTAACTTTTTTTTAAATAAATAAAAGCACAGCCTTCTTTATTCATGGCCTTTACAAAGTTTTTCATAAGTCCCAATTTTATATGCAGTGGCGGTAGTAAAATCTTTTCTGGGGGACGTAATGGCACGGTCGCTACATTTTTATTTCCTTCAGAAGACACTCTTGGAAGCCAAATTTTCGTTCTGTAGTAATCCGATCGTGCTTGACTGCCCCACTCACAAAGGAAGAAGCAGTATTTGGTATAACTGCATTCCAAGCAAAATTGCCAGAACTTTTAAATCCCCACAAATTTGCCACTTATATTTTTCATACTGTATGGTCTCCAGTACCAGCGTTAAATTGCTATAACTTTCTTGCATGTCAACTGCATGGCCAACTGGGACTGACGGCAACTTGTTTCTATTGTGAAGCAACGCAGCTTTAAGATTTACTTTTGACGAATCGATGAAAAGTCTCCGGTCTTTCGAATCATAGTCAAAATTTAAAGCTGCTGTTAATCCCTCAATGTTCCTACAAGCTACCAAATTGTTCTACATGTTAAAAAATGGTGTTCTTTCTGACGGTTTCGGTACATAGAAACGTTTACTTCATCTTGAAGTAAATTCCATTGTTTCAATCTAGAGGACAATAGTTCTGCTTTTTTCTTGGGCAATTCTAAATCTCTTATAAGGTCACTTAATTCTACTTGACCTAATTTATGAGGCTCCTTACTGGGAAGTTCACGGACAAAATCGCAGTCTTGCGAGGTTGATGGGCCGGTAATATTTTCGGGCACACTACCATTGTAATCCGTTTTATCAACGTCAGAATCAAGAGTATACTGCCGTGGTGGATCAGGTACAGGCAACTTGTCACTATGAGGCACCAGGCGTATGGCGAACTGTAAATTTGGATACTCTATTGCACACCTTTTTTTCTCCAAAAAACTTTTTTTGATGGGAGGTGTCAAGTAACAGTAACAGTCTGTAACGTGGTCTTTCGGTTCTTGCCAGATCATCGGAACATCAATCGGCATCTTACGCGAATCTTGGACGTACATTTGTAGCAGCAGATATAGGGAGCCCCATTTTTATCCTGGTCTCCAACTTTGCAGCCAAAATACAAGTGGTAAGCTTCTTTAATTAAAGGGCTAAGAGTACATTTTTTTTTTCACAAAAGTCGCTTCACCACATATATAACAAAAATGATCCGACTTATGTACCTAAACTCGCGACATGTTGCTTAAAGCTCTATCTTTTCAAATATAAATACCTCTCGTTTAACTGACATGTGATAAGTGACATTTGTTTAAATGGCGCTTACGATAGTCTGGCAAAAAGGTATCGAATATATTGGATTAGTTGTGCCCTTGCTCATTTCTTTTTGAAAACTCTAATTATTCTATTCTAGAAAACTAAAATTGTTAATAAAAATTAAATATAAGGTATGAGACATTAAGTACGTAACAACACCACCTCTACCAGCAAAAAGTTTCGAAGAAACTTTTAAACCTTTAACCTTGCGAATGAATGAAAGAAAGAAAAAACAAAAAAATATCGCGATACGAAATACAAAAAATACGGATAATGTTCGGAGGTTTAGACTTTACATCTATTGCGTCACTATTATTAGGTGCTGATTTTAAATCCTTATCGATTCAAACACCGGCGCTGTCATTTTTCTCATCAATTCCACGGCAAAACCACTTTTGAGATTTTATAGGGTTCGACAAATTTTTGGGCTAATTTCTCGCTAAAATACTTAGCCGCATTGAACTATACATAGTTTCTGTTCCATACTACATCCCCAATATTAAACTTATCTGTACGTTTTCGTAAGTTATATGGTACCTTAGCCCGGTCATAAGCGGTGCTCTTACTTCTGCAAATAGGTTGTTAAGTGAGTGAGTGAGTGCTATGGGGATCACCGTCGTTGGTTTGGGTAGTAGGAAAAATTATCACCTTCCATTAAGATGCATTTCTGTACCAAAGTTAATCAAATTTGGAGATACTCCCGTTACTTCATGCTTAGAGCATCTTAACGCACAAGTAATTTTTGGCAATATTGTTGATCTTCTGACGCGGCTGTAAACATCGTTTTAATAACTCGATTCACGCGTTCTACCGGATTGGCTTGGGTATGGTACAGTGAAGTATATTTTATGTGTACACCATACTTTGTCATCAAATCTAAAAAAAGATTACCGCGAAATTAGACACCGTTGTCACACAGAATAGTTTTAGGTACCCCATATACCAGGAAAACATGGTTTTCTATTATTTTGATTATATTTGATGCCGTAGCTGTTCTAAGAGCGAAAGCTAAGATAAACTTGCTAAAGCAATCCAAGCGGGTAAAAATAAAAGAATATCCGGAGGTTGTTCTTGGTAAAGGTCCATCTAAATCGAGACTTACCAAATGCCAGGGTCGAGTTGTTGTTGGCTGGGAGGAAAGCATTTGGCTTATAGAAGCCTTTTGCTCTGGCTTAATATGCTAACAGACCAAAAATTTTCGAATATAACGGGCTACATCAGCTCGCATCTTCGGCCAATAGAACCGTTGACTTATTCGAGTCAAAGTCTTAGAAACGCCTAAGTGGTCAAATGTTGGAGGATCGTGATGACCCCAGTGGACAAATATTCTATAAATGCCTGACGAGCATTTGTAACCTGTTTTTCTTGCCAAACTTTTTTTTTGTTTTATCCAAACAAAAAATATTTTTGTCTTCTCGTTTTAATTTTTTATTTTCCCTAAAATATTGCCTCCTTTAACAAATAATTTCATCTTTCTGTACGAGCGCAGATTTTCTATCGTTCTTCTCCCTAACGAAGACAACATTTCGTCTTAATTAATTTTATTTAAAAATAGGTATATTTTTTTGTAAACAAACCGAATTTACTTTTCTTCGGATCAGTTGTTTTATAGTATCGTTTATTTGAATGAGTTTTCTTCCAGTTGACGTTTTATGTGCTACTGTAATACGTCCATCCATTTGTTGCTTCAAAAGTCTATAAATGGTTGCTTCTCCAACTCCGGTCATATTTAAACACTTAGAAA